GGAGCTGGAAGCTGAGAACTGGCGAGTTTCTAGTACAACTTTAGTACGCGGAGCAATCTGTGGAGCTGGAAGCTGAGAACTGGCGACTTTGTAGTACAACTTTAGTACGCGGAGTAGCTGGGGAGCTGGAAGATGAGAACTGGCGACTTGGTAGTACAACTTTAGTACGCGGAGTAGCTGGGGAGTGGGAAGATGGGAACTGGTGACTTGGTAGTACAACTTGAGTCCGTGGAGTATCTGGGGAGCTGGAAGATGAGCACTGGTGACGTTGTGGTACAAGTGTAGTACCCGGAGTAGCTGGGGAGCTGGAAGCTGAGAACGGGCGACTTTGTATAGTCACTGTCGTATGCGGAGTAGCTGGGGAGCTGGAAGATGAGAACTGGCGACTTTGTAGTACAAATGTAGTACGCGGAGTAGCTGTGGAGCTGGAAGCTGAAAACTGGCGAGTTTGTAGTGCAACTTTAGTCTGCGGAGCAATCTGTGGAGGTGGAAGCTGAGAACTGGTGACTTTGTAGTACAACTTTCGTACGCGGAGTAGCTGGGGAGTGGGAAGATGAGAACTGGCGACTTGGTATTGCAAGTTGAGTCCGTGGAGTATCTGGGGAGCTGGAAGATGAGCACTGGCGACTTTGTAGTACAAGTGTAGTGCGCGGAGTAGCTGGGGAGCTGGAAGCTGAGAACTTGCGACTTTGTAGTACAACTTTAGTACGCGGAGTATCTGGGGAGCTGGAAGATGAGAACTGGCGACGTGGTAGTACAACTGTAGTACGTGGAGTAGCTGGGGTGTGGGAAGGTGAGAACTGGCGACTTGGTAGTAAAACTTGAGTACGCGGAGTATCTAGGGAGCTGGAAGATGAGCACTGGCGACTTTGTAGTGCAATTGTAGTACGCGGAGTAGCTGGGGAGCTGGAAGCTGAGAACTGGCGATGTGGTAGTACAACTTTAGTAGATTATGCCCCATATTGCGGGCGTGCGACAGCCGCGGGGGTTGTTGGCTAGTTGTGACTGCGCACACCACTGTGCACAATACCTCGTACATCCGTCGTGCACATCACTCTCTTACACCTTCTCTCCCACCCCTCTGTTGTCGGAAGCTGATATCACTTCCTGACAAGGCCGTGTTGTAGAAGCTATTGAGACTCTGACTGCTTTGTGCTTTAGAACCTTCAGATTCGTAAAGATTCATACGTGGGGTTATCCGGTCCTTTAATTTCTGATGCCAGGTATTATCCATTTATTGGTGCCCTACGCCACGCCTACTTTCTGCCTGCGCGCTCGCAGGTCGAATTTAGGATAGGTTGCCTGCGCGGCCTACACGCGTAGAGTTTTGGTTAATCACTGCATGGCTTTGCCTATGTGGCTACAGTCTTGGAAGCTTTTCGCTGTTTTCGTCTATTGTTTTGCAAGGCGTTGGGTTCCTTCTTAGCCATGGCGAAAGGCCTACTAACGACAAAGGCAGGCCATATGTACGAGGAAGAGTTGCAAACCTTCACTTAGCTATGTCTGGGGCAAAGTCTTCCCGCACCAGTTTTCGCCTACGTCTACCCTACTTTTCGCCTACGCGGTGCCTACGCCTACACTAAACAGTTTCCACCGGTTTGAACATATAGTCTGGGGTGGGGGTCTACACATGAATTATTCACTGGGTAGGTCATTCCATCCCCCAGCACTAAAGCAAGAGTAACTCCAGCTAGCTGACGCTACGTAGCTTTCGTGACATGTTGGATCATGTTGGCCCAACTTGTGGTATGTCCCATGGTTCTCTACTCCACTAGCCGCTAGCCACTGCATGTTGTTTTTGCTAATATGTGCTAATATCTTGCCTACTCCTATCCAGGTAGCATTTAAAGCTTTTAGAAGTCATACTTATTAAAGTCTTCCTGTATGGATCTTCTTGACCCACGGGCTGGGAAATTCGTCGCCTACGTGGCTTCTGCCACACAAAAAATGCAAAACATGCCTACACCAGCCTACGCCCCCAAGCAGAATGCCTACATCCAACCATTTGCAGGTCAACCCTTATATAAATCTTTACATCTAAAAGAATAAGAAAACTCTGCTCAAGTGGTTTGATGATGTTTGATGATGTTTGATGATGTTTGATGTGTGCTGGTGAGTGGGCACGGCCACCCAAAATGGCTTGGTGGTTTCTCAAGTCCTGCTAATGCTGTTGCACGTTGCTTCCCCGAAGGTGATCCGGGTTCAAATTCACTGGACCAAGCCGAAAATGAATGGGCAGGAGTGCATCGAGGTTTGCTTGATATTGCAAAGATCAAGGCTGGGACTCTTATTCCGAATATGCCTGTCACATAAACGCACCTGCTTCTTGTCTACACGCAAACTGATGAACAAGATGAAACAAAATGAAACAAGTATCAAGACCATCAAAACAAATCAACCAAATACATCATGTCATAGCCATACACAACACAAATTGCGCCCCCCCTCCATGGGATCTATACCTCATGCTCACCTCCCTCCCGTCTGCGTCTCTGGGGTGCCCACGGCGCCACGGTGGGGACGGCGCCCCAGGGGTGGCACTTCTTCCAACTCAAGACGCCCGAGCGGAGCGAGCGAGCCACGAGCGAGCCACGAGCCACGGGTCGTGCGGAGGTGGGGTCGAAACAAAGGACGAAGCGTTCGCCTCTGTGTGTGTGTGTGTTGAAGATCACAAATTGGATGCAGCACAGCAGAAATTTGAATACTAGAAATGCGTGTATATAATTGTATATATATATATATACCGTATATGATATGTTATTAATATATGGCACTGCCTCAAAGCGCTGGATTCACAAATCAGAATGTCTTGCAGCAGTTCGTTGAGGTCCAGGGAAGTGAATCATGTCGCAGCTCAAGCTGCAACTTGACATCAACTCCCACCACTGTGTAGAAGAGATTAGAAGAGTCTTGTTCACTTGAGAGCACATCCCCCCCTCACTTGTCACCCTGTCCCTCGTCACATGCCGTCAGCTGCAAACGGCATGGGGCTCAAGCTTCTCATAGCTTCCGTAGATGCCCTGCCACATAATCCGCGCAGTCATGCTCGTGCATGTTCGTTTCTCCAAATTGGTCGATCATTGGGCATCTTTCGGATTGATTTTGATCTGAACTTGATGCAAGTCAACCAACGTGTTCTCAGCCATATATTGGCTCCCTCGAATATCCACCAAACGCGTTTCGTTTCAGACCGATGCGTGCGATTTGGGCTGGAATGGGCATCACTTCATACCTTTCGAAGACCCAGTACCCTCAACTGTTGACCTATGTCTGAAGACATTTGGAACAACCTCGATCGATCTAGGCCTTCATCCAACCCTGACGCTTGGAGCGTCGCCGCATGAAACGAATGCGGTCCTCAGCAAAGATTCAGATGAGCATTCGAGAAATGGGTTTGGGTTCTCATGTGGCTTGGGGGGAGATGCGCCAAGCGACAGCCCTTAGGGCCTTGGCTCGGCAGTTGGTTCAAGACTGGCTGCTGAAGGATGATAAGGATGCTAAGCACTAACAGTAGAGACGTAGATGTCCCATGTGCGTTTCCCAAAAGGCCAGATGAATATGTCAATTTGACAGGCTGAACAACTAGGACTCCAAAAGAAGCGCCACGCTCACGGCTGAACTATGTGGCCGATCCCGCACTGACAAATCAAAGTGGATGCATAAAAGAGGTGAATTAGCTGGGACTTCCTTTTTGAGACCGGAACTGGCCGCACCATGCCGCACCTCATTCTTACATTCTTAGCACACCCCGCAGAAACGCGGGGCTCAGCTACAACGGCCTGGCGTGTGGCCTCTCAGGCCACCATCCTCTTTGGGCGATCTGACTGACCCTGCTGAGGATCCAGGCCCTGCTGAGGATCCAGGGATCCCACTCTTTGTCCTCCTGTGCATCGCTCGCCCCCAAACGCATTGGGCCCCTCATGGGCGTGCGAAGGGGACCCCTCATGGGCGCGCGGTGTCCGTTTTGGCTGGAGCGCTGGGCCTGGAAAAGGTCCAAAAGTGGGTAAAAATTGGCAAGTCTTGGCCCAACCAAGTGTAACCGTCAAGCGAAAAGCTGGCACGAAACAGTCATATTATCATAGAAAGAAATGGAGAAAACACATCAAATAGCAGTTCAAACCTCCCAGGGAAAACCAAGGTCCGGTCGTCGTCCGGTCCGGTCGTCTCTCGGTGTCAACTCGGCCAACTGACTCGTCGGGTCTCCGGTGGAGGCCCCTGCGGATTCATCTGCGCCAAGGCCTCACGGAGGTCACCGCCACGCCACGCTCCGTCGCCGAGGACGTCGCTGGGTAGGCAAAGACTGGAGGACGTCGGGTTGTTTCAACGCATCCAACAGTCATTGGAGTGCTTTAAGGCAATAGCTTTGATCCAAGCATGTCTACCCACTTCCCTTTCAGCCAAAAGTTCATACATCGATAGATTTGTGATTATATACCCGGCACCCACTGTTGAAGGCAGCCGGGACGGGTTCATGAAAGTGATTTCTGCCGATATATGTATATACAGTACCCAAGGCCGAACCGCGGAGGTACTGAACGAATTCTTTGAGAGGATGGTCTTTAAGGGTCCAAGCAAAGCACCCCAAAACCTGTTGTCGTCCGAAAATCGTCGTCTTCCGCACCTTGCCCTTCTTGATGGCTTCAGACAACTTGCGGAGCACCAGCTCAATGGACCTGCACGTCACGTGCACCCTGTTTCAGGGTAACGATCTCTGTCCACAGCCCTTCGACAAGCCTTCCATGTGTCAAGCGGCAAAAGAACACCGCAACAGTCTGGCGAGCCGGACACCCTGCCTGGTGCTGGAAGTGTTGGAAGGAATCGGAATATCCACGTAGGTCGGGTCATTGTTGGAATCCACCATGCCTACAAGAAGCAGACATGGGGTTGGTCACCAGCAGTCCCACACGTGATACTCCTCAGACATTCACGTGATACTCCTCTTCAGTACGAGTGAATGGTATTCACATCCACTTGGATCGCCTACTGTTGGCACGCCAATGCGGGTCATCTCAGCCAGAGGCAAACGCTCTTTTGCCTGGTGCTCCGCGCAATGATGTAAATCGACTGAGGTTGGAGGAGGTTCATAATGAGGTGGGAGAATCTTCGCCTTCGGCCTCTCTCTCAACTGCAGTTTTTGTTGTTTCTTATTATAATTTGTGAGGGGAAGGAAACCGCACAACGTTATCAACTGTATTCTAGAGTGACTCCAGTGCCAAAGCATTTCTTCCTGCCTCGTCCACAAAGATACAGATGTCAGGGTAGGAGGTCAAGTTCACAATTCCCGCGTACTTCTTCTCCATTCGATTCAGCTTGCACCTATAACAAGGAGTGATTTTGCTGCCAAGTTAACGGCAAAAAAACAAGGCTGGTCAGACAACAGAGATACTCTTGAAATTCCCCTAGATAGATGTGGCGCTTCTTCCCTGTGCCCCTTAGCCTTGGCCTTTGCTAAACCTCATCCTCTTTTACAGCGGCTCTTTGCGAAACATGTCTGAAGGAGATCGGAATTCGAGGAGATTCCTCATTCGACCACCGGAGGCACTCGTTCAAGAAGCGCTTGAACTCGCTCAAGACACTCCATGCGTTTTGCTGCTTCTCTTCCTGGGCAGCGAAGAAAAAGATGCTCACCCCCCCCATGATCTACCTTTTCCTGCGTTTCAGCTCTTTCACTGTTCCTACTTCTCAGTTCTTCTATCTTTTCCTGCTTGTCAGCAGCTTTTCTGTACTAGGCTACCCCCTGTGTAGAATAGATGTGTGCAATACTTTGGAAAGTGTTAAGAAGGGAGTTAAAACGAAATCAACTAACGAGCTTAAAGGGTAATCAAAAGAAATCAAAAGGAGTTGAAAGGATATCAACCAAAAACACAAAAGGAATTCAATAGGTAATCAATAAGAACAAAAAGGAAAATCCAAAAAAAAGTGAATTCACACATAATGGTTATTAAAGGTGAAAAGTGTAGACGTGATTGCAAGGTTTTTTTTTAATTAAAAGCCAAACAGAGCAAACACTATTATTGTAGGGGGTTGAGCTATATTATTAAACAGTTCTAGTGTACTGGGCTAACCCCTTTGTCGAATAGATTTGTGCAATAGAATATTAAGGGATTAAGCAAGAAAATAACCAAATAACTTAAAATGCGATCAACATAAGTCAAAACGATTTCAATTGGAATCAACAAGCACCAAAAGGATTTCAATAGGCAATAGGTAATGAATTTAAAAAACACAAGGAGTGTTCAAAAAGATAAATCACAAATAAAACTACTGATAAATGAAAAGCATAGACATCATTTGGGGGGGACGCTATTTTTTCAAACGTCATACCAAAGCAAAGTGCAGACAATATATTTGAGAGGGTACTATCATTGAAAAAAGGGAAAAGTGTAGACATGAACCCAAGGGGTGTTATTATTGAAGCGAAAAGGTTGTTTGTTCTACCTCGAGATGACACAAGAAGAGACCACATGATCACATGGCATCTTCAAACAAAACCCATTGAGACCGTTCCGTTCCGAAAAGCAACCAAAAGACTCCATTTCAGGTTTCGTCACAGAAAGGACCGCACGGACGCGTCCGTTGTTGACGAAAAAGCAGCGACATGTGGCCGATCGTGGGCCTTGAGCTTCAGCATCATGTCAACGGATTTGCGAATCACCGCGAAGTTACTGATCACACCACCCACGAACCTCAGGACCGGTCAGGGACGACTTCTCTGTGGACGAACGATGTTGGACGACTTGTGGCGAACACGGCGCCTTTTTCTTTTTCGCTGGAGAACGGCCAAGGGAAGGAATGGAAGAGTAAAGGGTGGTGTAGAAAAACATCAACAAATCATATTCGAGCAAAGCATGCTCGAAACTCTAGAGATGCCCAGCGGCAAAAAGCAGTGGGCAAAGTCTGCTTCAATGAGCCCAAACTCCCACAATCGAAAACAAAAAGCATGCTGATGGAAGGGTTGGGAAACATCCTGAATCCAGGAATGCCTCCGGACCATGCTTCGTGGGCGAGAATGGAGGAACTGCAGTGTCCCTAACTGACTGGTGGATAGATTATGATAGATTCTCCAGATTCGAAGGGATCAAAACGATCCAAAACCAGCAAAGACAGCGTCTCGGACAGCGGAAACCGGGGAAACTCATAGACTTCGTCCATCGTCCAGGGGGAAGTCACCAGCCGAAGGAGGGTGGATGGTCGGCTCTGCAGGAGTTGGAGTGTTGATTCGATGCAAAGACCAGCAAAGACCATCAGAGACTCACTGAGCCCTAGCCAGCAACTGACTGGTTGGGTAGCTTGGTAGCCTGGAATGCTCATGGCTCCTTCGTGGCTCTTTTTCAAGAAATGAATTGAACCGCAAAAAACTGTCCGCCGAGGAGCCGGAGATCGCAGTAGGGAACACCAGCCTCTTCGGCATACTTCTTAACTTGCTCTCGAGCCTGCTCCTGGTTACAAGTACCAGATGGTCCCTGCCCCACTATGCATGAGAATGCATGCGAATGCTGTAAAGTATTGGTAAGATCTCTGCAAGTGCAACTTAGGCTGAACATGGATTCCCGAGGCGCTTCACTCAGTACTGAAGGGGCTTCTGAGACAAGCCGTCATCCACTCCCAGCCCATCGAAAGTGCAGAGCAGCATCTTTGAGCCCCTCAAAAAAAAACATCGAAGATGTCGAAGGATGTCGAAGGATCTCAAAACTTTGTCAAGTTGCAAGAGATGAGATTGCCCTAGATTGGCCAGAAACTAGAACCACCAGTTTCTGCAAGTTTCTGCCAGTTTCTAGATTCTAGAACTGCCTGAACCCTGGTGCCAGCACTTCTCTCCTTGGTGCCAATGAAGATGAAGTTCGCACCCTTGGCCGCTGCCTCCATGCAGTAGTAGCCTCGTTCGCCGGCCGACCACCGGCGGAGGTCCGTCCTCATCTGTTTCAGGGTAGGTGAAAAATATCGAAGAAGTGGGGCTCAAGGTAGGGTTAGTTCGATGATGTTAAATGATAGGTTGTTTCTATATTTTTCTTTTGGGGGGGGTCGGAAGTTAATATAAGTTGGTACTCCTTTCCAAAAAAGACCGGAATCGAGCGGGAGGAGGTATGGGCCACAACATCTGCGATTTCCGATCACTTGCGGTGAAATAGGAACGAGCAGGAGGTTCATGGTCTGCGTGGAATTGAAGGATGTCAAGTGGTCCTTCCCAACAGTCCACTGTGGTCCATCCACTGCACTACGTTGGGAGATATATTTGTCAAAAGCTTGAAGCATCTAATCTAGCCAGACATCTTAGTTCTAGCTACCAAGACCCTCACACTGCAACACTCTCGTTGGATTCGCTAGCGTTCTCTCGCATCACGCATCTGAGCCTCCCCACAAGCACGATTGAGGTTGGCCGCTGTCTGAACCAGGTCAAAGATGTGGGTGCCCTGCCGGGGGGTGGCTATAAGGAAGTTGTCACATGCACGATGACTTCAAAACACCATCCTGATCGATCACCCTGATCGCACTGATCACGGTCGCATGTCTGCAAGAGGGGTTGCAACAAGCCATGTGCTGGGTTGCTGTTCATGTGTTCTTGCCATCTAGTGCACGTCTGACCAGGCACACCAGGTACTGATCAAACATAGGTACACCGGGTCCATGACTGGGTGTCCCGGCTCCGTTGTCAGCATAGAGGTACTTCAGCATCTTGGGGTTCCACCTCACTCGATGTTCGTGTGTGTTCGATGACTCAGGACCCCGATGTGGATCATCACCGGCTGTGGATCATGAGAGAAGGTCTGTAATAGATGGATGGGCTATTGCGGCTCCGCTGCAAATTCTCGACAGCACCGTCGAATGAAAGGAGAAAAAGAGCCGACTGCGCCAACGAGTTCCGACCACAACCAAGTGCTTAAGCCTTCCGTGATTTGACAAACCTTCTGCAAAAAGAATTCGAGGTGTCTCCTCTCATCCACCACCGAATTCGACAGCACACCATTATGGCGTAAAAATGACCCAACGGTGCATCATCATTCGTCCAACGGTGTGTGTTTTTGAAGCGCAGATGGGTGAGCCACCAGATCAAGCAGCTCAGCCTCCGGACATGTTGGACTTATGGCCGTATTGAACGCCTGCACATCGGTGGTTTTGCCCTCCAAAACCCCCAGGGCCGTGCCCATTTGGGCAGACTTCAAGAAGAGCATTTGGAGCACCTCCCAGTCACCAACCCGACTCCGGACTTCGTCACGGCCGCCTGCATCCACCAGCTCGGGCAAAGTCACGACACGAGTGGCATTCTCTGGCCTGGGCTTAGATGGGCTTATTGGTGCCTTTCGAACCGACCAACAGCGGTTTAATCGAAGTACGGTTGCGGAATTGGCCTGGTATCCAGAGTAGATGTTGGAAAAGCAGCGAATCTTTAAAGACATACAGATACTTGCACCGTTCAAGAAGGACTCGTTGGCCAACATCTACCATCAACCCATTCGGCCAAGACCCCGACATCTCCCAGTTGCCCAAAGCCAGCTTCTTGAATTTGGCTGGCTCCAAGTACCTGATTCCACAGGGCCTCTTCCTTTTCAAATCTGACCTTGTAGGTGTTTTCTGCATGTAAAACTGCCAGAGGATCTCTATTCTCCCTCATCAAATGCCTCAGATTTCGTGCAAGGAGCAAACGGGTCTTGCGGAGAGTCTTTTCGGGTCCGACGGGCAGGGATGGCATTCATCTCATTCCACCCCTCCGGAAAGCTCCTTTAGAGCCGCCCAGGAGGCCTCTTCCGTGTGACTTCCCTTCTTGCCTGCCTTGGCCTCGGCCTTTTCGGCCTTGCGCAAAGCCTTTAAGGCCTTCTCTGCAGCTTTGGTGGCCTTTTTACGTGCCTTTTTCTCCTCTTTCTTCGCCTCCTCTAGGGCTTTATTCTTGTTTCGCTGGATTCGGCGTCGCAAACCGAGGGCTGCATCGTTCTCTGCAATGAACTTGCAATCCACAACTCCATAGTCCTCCTTGGTGCTACCGGAGCTCACGGAAAGAACATCGTGTCCATCTTCACCTTCACTCTGGGGCTCTTCCATTATCACCTTCTTGGCCTTTGTCTTCCTCTCATTCTTTCTTTTCTTCTCTCTCTTCTTTTTGGGTTCAAACTGCTCGAGCTCGTTGTCTCTCTCCTTCGATTCTGGCTTGGTGCGGCTTGGGCTTCGAGTCCAACTCGCTTCTTCTCGCTCCACTCGACCACCAGCCAACGAGGGTGCACTCAACGGTGGCACAGAGCTAAGCTCCACCCTTTCGGCTCTGCTTCCACGCTTCTTCTTTTTCTTTTTCTTCTTTTTGGATCTCTCTGTGCCACCCTCCACCGGCCCTTCGAGCCCTTCGAGGGCTTCGAGCGGTTGATCCAAGAAGCGCCAGTCCGTGAGCTCCGAGGTGTGCTCCTCTTCGTTCTGCATCTCCTCCTCTTCAAGCCCTTGTAGCTCAGCCGAGCTCGAGCTGGCTACCCTGGGCTCCTCCACGCTTCGGTTGGGCTTCAGCACAGCTCGTTTCGGCCTCTTCACAGATGGCTCTTCGGACCTCTGCCTTTTTCGAGCTTCCTCAAAAGCCGAAGCACTCGAAAGGTGCCTCTCCTGTTTGTTTTGAAGTTTTTTCTTGATCTCCTCTACCACGCTAGGTTTCAAACCACCCTCTTTTGTATGTCGATCCTTCTCAGCAGCTTTGGAAGAGGCAAAGGCCTGTGTATCCGTTTGATTGGAACTCTCCGATTTACTGGCGGAGTTTCCAGAAATGGGTGCTTCTTTCCGGACAGGAAGTTCCTTTGGCACACTGGGCATGTCTGCCTGCTTCTGCAAGGAGTCCTCCAAAGCTGAAGGAGGAACAGCTACAGACGGATCTGCAGAAACTTTCACCTTCTTCGGCTTTGGTGAAGCCTTCACTGTTGCTTCAACTGAACGCTTCAATTGCCGCTCCGCAGGTGGCTCATTCTTCAACGGAGCCAATGCATCCGACGGCTTCAGCAATGCAGGTGCAGACGTCTTGGGAGCAGCCGAGAGAAGGGCTTCCAAGCTTTGCTCCTCTGCTCGCGCTTTCGGCAACGCTGCCACCCGCTCAGGCTTCCTCTGCTCCTCCCCTGCAGGCAGCTCTTTCGGCAACTCTGCGGAAGGAGCGAGGGCAGACTTGTTCGTGTCTGTCGACTTGATGGCAGCTGCTGATTCAGGCAGCTGGAAAACAGTAGAAAGGGCTGCCTGTACTTGCTGATCATCTGCATGCGCTCTTGGCAACGCTGCCACAGAGACATGCTCAAACTTCTGCTCCTGCCCTTGAGGCAGCTCTTTGGACAACTCTGTGGCAGGAGCAACAAGCACTTTGGCTGCTTTCTCCTTGATAGCTGAAGATTCAGCTGGCAGTTTCGTAGCAGAAAGCTTCGTCGCCTTCACCTGCACATCTTCCTGCAACTGTGCTGCCGGTGACAAAGGTGCATCTTCTCTTGGACTTTTAGCTTTCTGGGCTTCCGTTCGCTCTTTCTGCAAGCGATCTGTGCCGGCGATTGCCGCAAGCGCATCTGTACTCGCTTGCACTGTTTCATTAGCAGCTTCATTGGCCTCCTCTCTCTCTCGTCTGAACCATGCAGTAACTGCCGCCCACAAACGCGCGAACATGCCTGACGTTGGAGACAGGAAGAAGGCTCAAGCCATCGCGGAATCAATGAACAACAGGTGGTGATTGAAACTGTTGCTGGCTTGTGGTTGTTGCTACACTTCGACACACAACTTTCTACATCAACCGTGAATTGTCGATTGGAACCTACAGAGCTATACATACCATATTGTTGGCGGCTAGGTATCTAAATGACCAAGTGGCTGATGGTCCTTGATGCCTTGAAACATAGCGGTTTACCAAGATTTACCAGTAATTCGGCGTATAACCTCTTGTCACAAACCCTTTTCCCAAAGGTCTTTGGAGGGTCCGCTTATTCTGGACACTGTCATCTAGAACACGCCCTTGCCCGTGCGAAAACGGCATTGCCATCACGCTTGCAACGCCTGTCCGAAGGTCGGCGGCATCAAACACAAGCAAAGCGGCTCAGCGCGATTGGGTCACTTTCGCACGTAGAAGATGTCATCGTAGTCATGACCCTCTCCGTTTCCCATTGCCTCGTGCATCTTTGGGGTTGAAACAGGTCAAAAAACCCTTTGCCCCTTCATTTCACAACTTGAACACCTTTGTCTTGGAGACGAGCACCCTTGGGAGAAATGCGGCTTAATTGCTTCGGCTCTCTGCATTTAGATGTTTAAAACACTGTCTTTCCATACCTGGACCTGCATCGACAGTTCATCTCAAACAGCGGCTCGCAAGATTCAATCAAAGTGCTCAAGGAACATCTGCCATGTCCTGGCTTTGTTACGGGCCTTATCGCCAGAACCCGTTTCGTGCCTTTTTTCCGCAAAACGGCCCTCAAATAAAGCGCAAAAGGGCATCAACCAAGAAACTCCGGTCCCCTGCATCTAGATCCAATTCACTTTGCGCTTGTGTAGACACGTTCCTTCAACACACCCGTCGGAAGCCACGCGGTTAGGTCGCGGGTGGCAACTCTCTTCCACACAGAACAACCGCTCAGGTCTTCACCGCGTTGAGTGAAAAAACGATCGGAGAGGGCATTGCCTTCGTCGTTGCGCCTCTGTCTTCCCAGAGGATCGCTCCTTTGCCGGTGCCCTTTTTTGACAATAACGATGAAAAGGAGCACCACCACCACACGGTGCCCTTTCGTTGCATCCGTTGGTCACGGTGCGTTTCGGCCCACCCTCTCTTGGACCACTTAGATAGTGTTCATTGCTGCTAGAGCGAAACATGCCTGCTTGTCTTCACAGCTGAGCAATACAGAAAACGGTCCTTGTCTGATATCACACATTGCCTGCTTCGTTGAGGTCTTTATACCATTGACACGCATGCTTGCAGGTTGAGGTCTTTACAGCTGACCACTTCCATGATTGCGGGCGAAGAACCATACACATCCTGCTGCACGGCCACTTGTTGATGCAAAAGATGCACTGTTGAACCTCTTTGGTATCCCTCGCATCACCAAGGCCCTTATAGAGGCGCATTTTGAACCGCCCCTTTTGCTCGCTCTCCTCCAGCCCAATTCAATAGGAACATCTTCATCAAAGGATTCTGTTCTGGATCCTAGAGCTTGCAGACGTTGAGCCCTGGACTCTTCGTGAAGTTGACATCCCACTCATCAACGGCATAGCATCAAAGAAATGTTCCGACCTGACAAAAGTCTTGCTCCCAGTCCCAGTGATATAGGTTAAACAAACGCCTGTCACGTCTCTTCTTGCTTTTTGGTATCCAACACGAAAGCGGCAAAAAAGGTCTACAGTCGATGACCTGGAGGGACACTGATGTTGGAAGGAATGCTACGCACAAGAAAGGAATGAGTGAGTGAACTTTTGTGCGTAATCTTGAGGACAATGCTACTCAATGAAATGTGGTCACATCTTGCCAAGGCACGAAAACTGCATCTGCATCCGCCCATGCAACTGCTGGCGGACCACCTGCGTTGCTGGTGGCGTCTCGCGGCATGTGGACTGCTGATTGTAAGGGATCAAAAGAATTTCACCTTCAAGAATTCCACCAAAGGGCTTCCGAAAAAGAATGAGGCATACACAATTATCGGCCCACATCTGCCAGAGATAGGGTACTGTCGGTCACGGGCGCAGGAATGGCTCCGAAGAATCGAAGAATGATACAGACCCGAAAGAATATATTCTTCCAGGAGGGCATTCCAAATCATGGCATTGCAAAACAGTGTTAGACCAGAATCCAGCCTTCTCCATGAAATCCAAGTTTCTATCCTTGTTTTTCTGCCAACCTGATGACAACCCAGCAACGTCTGCTGGAAAGCATGCAGGCATATACCTCTAAGATATAGTATATATGTATATATACTAAAGTGAGCTGTCAAGAGAACTTCTGCAACTCATCTCGGCTGCCGATGATTCTCTAGTATCTATGTATGTATGTATATATATATATATGATATATAGAATCTCATGCAGCCACCACCAACTGAAAAGCATTCCTTGTGATCAGAGCCGCTAGGTGTGAGTGTGATGTCGCTCGTAGCGTCGGAGGCCGTTCCATCCGACCGTCCGTACCATCCATCCGACCGAGGCCTGCGGTCCCTGCGGTCCCTGCGGTCCCTGCAGTCCCCGCACCGTCAAAGCCGTCCATCCAAACATCCCTGAGCAGCAAACGACGGCACGCTATCCAAACCGAACAGTGCCGGAGTAACGAAAGAGCGAGAAGAACGATGGCACCTATCTCAAAGTGTACATCAACTTGCAGCATCTTCACCTTGCTGCATGTCTTGTGGGCACCTTGAGTACTGGCTTTGTACAAAACTGCCATGACAGTATGGTGAATGGTAAAGTTCTTGCGAGGCTTCTTTGTCAGACAACAGGGAAGTTCTTGGGATTCTTGGGCTTGAGAAGAGTTGGTTGGTCTTTGCGAAACCGAAGAAGGGGTCCTTCGTCTTGTCCCGGTGCAGGGGTCCTTCTTTGTGCACCAACGGCAGCTCTCGTTCACTCGGTGGGCCTTGTCTCCTTGCGGTGAATCATCGGCTTCATGCCCTTGGCAGCTGGCCTTTGTGGCAGGTGTTTCTCCCCAGGTGAGCAGTGGTTTCTCCCCAAAGCACCTGGGGCAGGATGTGCTGTAGAGTGCCTGTGCTTTAACGATCAACGAAAACTGTTGTCTTTGGCGGCTGCTCTTTGAGGTAATATGGGCACATTCAACGCGTAAAGCAAATCGCTTCTTGAGCTCAGTCACTTTGCCCAGCGCGTCGGCTTTCTCACCTGCATGATCACCTGGTGTGCGGCTCTCAACATCTCAGCATGAGCATGGGAAAGCAGCAAATGCAAGTCTTTTTGATATGCAATCTACCACATTGTGTTAAAAAGAAATGGAACATCTCGACACACAGACACGCACAGACACACACCTTTTTGTTTTGCCTGACATGTCGTGCTTTTTCGGCCTTTTGGGTTGGAGATTGGCAACTGCGGATATTGAGCATGCTGGTGATCATCTACATACAACCCAGCCAGACATAGTCAAGAAAAATCACATACTTGAAGCTAAGCCAGTGATTTCAGATGAAGCAACTGGTGTCCACTCCATTCAGGTCCCGACGCGGCTAGCGGTTCTGGAGCGGCCTCTGGAGAAAACGATTGAAAATTGTATGCACGGTCTGTTTACCCTCATGATTCATGATGTTCTATCTGAATCTATAGCCAAAAATACAGACTCTTAATTGCCTGTTACTATATAACAGGCAATTGTTTTTGGTGTTTTCTTCACAAAACACTGGCTCGTGCGGTCCCAAGAACATCTTTATGAGACAACCCAGACGGAGAGACGGACCACCCAGGCACCGGCCTCGGCGGGCTGCGAGGGCCGCCGCCAGGGCACAAAGACCCACGGCAGCTGTCCGATGAGGTCGCACCTGGGGTGAAACGGTCTTCCAGGAGTGAAACCGACAAACTCAGTTCGTTCGGGCGGATCAATGTAGGAGCCAAAGTACTACTTTTAAAAAGAACGCCCAAGACGGGATGGCTTTCACCAAGTTGGCGCGTGGTCAAGCCGTAGAGGAGCTGATCATATCGGTTGCGAAGAGCTGGTTGCCTTCCTGATGGCTTGCATCTCTGGTTGAAAAGAGACCCTTGTTGTTTTCACTCCTTTGGCCTTCGCTTGGCACTTGTGCCCAGTGAAACGCTTCTCTCGCCATGCCGAGTAGTGAAACGCTTCCCTTGCTGAGTAAACCATGCAATCTGAAGAGAGCCATCGGCTTGTCATAACACATGGAACCACAATGGAACCACAATGGATTCAAAGGCGGATGTCCCGTTCGTTGGGACCCGAGTTCGCAGTTTCACTCGGCGACTCGACGAGCCGACTCGTGCCGTATGTACACTCCCATCTGGGAACGCCAGCAAGGGTGAACACCAACATATGAAAAATGGACATGCTCCAAAGAGGCTAGGCTAACAAATAATGGCTGGTTTGGGTGCTGTTCTGCCACACATGGCAGGGAAAACAGCTTTCAGTAAAACAAGAAGCACTGGTGGGGTCGGGTTAGAGATTAGAGGTCGCTTCTCTGTTTGTTTTTTCACCAACGGTGAACACCATAGGTTCAGAGAATGGCTGCTCATGTATATACCGTATATCCTTCTTGCTGGTGATCAAGTGCATGCCACGTTCCGCTGTTCTAGTGGACTGCACCATGCATAGCCCATCCTTCTCAGAACAAGGAGCCCTGGTATGGATGGGCTCAACAGGATTCAACAGTGAAATTTAATGAAGCTAGAAGTCTTCCTGAAAGGGTGACTTGTGCACTGCCGCAACCATTTCGAATCGCCTACAAGCTCAGCAAACTACAAACAGCAACTCCGTTTGCACCCCCAAGTCGGTTGGGTGAAGTCAGTCATCTTCCCAACCCAACCCTCCGACTCGCAAAGCATTCATCCAGCTGAGTGTCCGAAACAAAGGCTTTCAACGGGACAAGCTGTGTAAATCCGTTCTCCCACCTTGAAGAAACCCAACCGCGGCTCTAGCATCGGCTTGCCCTGGGCGAGAAGACCCGAAATCGCCAGCGGCCGCGCCGTTCAACAGGACGTGTCGCTGCTAGGATTCCGAAGGAACTCATAGATTTGGAACTGCCGAAAGGCTCTGAAGAAGGCTCTATCTGCAATTACAGCTGAAGGCTCAATCTTAGACACTGGAGCCTGTCAATCCGATTCGTGTCAATCCGATTCTTCTGCCGATTCCTCTTCGGCTTCGAATCGATTGCTGTCGGAACAACGGGCGAAACCCTGCCTCCGCGGCCGATGCCTCAGGCTTGGCGATGGCATCCACCTGGCAAGGCTTTCGTCACGCGTGCTTGCAGATTGGTTGAATTGAGCATCCTAAGATGTGGGCGGCAAGTGTCCGTCATCATCCAAAGACTTCTAACAATATATGCCCCAGACATTTGTGGAGCCATCCACCGGTGAACCTGGCGGGGGAAAAGGCCTTGTCTGCCCCACAAGCCTTGACAGTGCGACACTTGGCCCGGTGCCTTGAGCGACACTTGGCTTTTGGTGGTGTTCGATTCCAGGCTCGATGCCAAGGTGGGCAACAGCTCGTGCCAAGGTCTTGTAATCAAGATCCTCCCACAGTGCGACCGGCAGAGGCTTCCGTGAACGCGCTTCTGCATGGCTTTTCTCTGAAAAAAGGAACAATACTGTCAAATCAAGCCATCTTTGCATACAGGATTCCAAACAACCTCAACTCAAAAGTGAAAGCACAAAATGTGTGCCAAGGGTTTTCAGGGATGGGTCAAGACTTGAGAATGCATTTTGAATATCTTCGAATATCAACACCAAAGGCGTGGCCAACACGAGCAAAGAGCCAACCATGAGTGAGCATGTTGCAGCTTAGTGCTTGCACAAGTGGAAAATCAGTACCACCAACAAGTGGGAATGCCCTGCGATCCTGGCGGACACATTGCGCAGCAAGGCAACCGGCAACAATGCATTCCTTGCTTTCATAGAACGGGGCCGTCTGAGTCGAAATCGAAATAGACAGAATCGTAGCTAGCTTCTTAGGTCGCTTCCTACAAATGGCTGTCTTCCAACTTGACGATTCGTCACCTTTTAGAGCCCAGTCCAACTTCTCTGCCGATGTCCGTTCTTTGCCCGGCGGCCGCTTGCACACAAAGGTGCCACGATCATGGCCTTCCCAGTCATACCACTGCTGTTGCCGCTCTTCGGGCTTACAGTCCGGCTCGTGTTCACCTGGGAACCAGGTGTGAAGGACAAGTCTGCGAGGATGTTGGATTCCAGGAATACACGAAGCAAGCAACCAGTGACTGGAAAGATCCGCGTTAGCAAGGTGAGGCTGGATCATGTTGGACTCTCCCCATGTCCGACGTCCACAACAAAGGATTGTTTGGGAAGCGGGTTTTGAGGTTCCCCTCTGCCCCAACCCAAGCCCGTCAAAGGACGGCCGGTGCAGTTCTTGGCAAAGTTCGAGAAGTCATCCTGCAAAGCTGAGCTGCACAGAGCTGAGATTTCGATGCTAAGGACTCTTGACAGATCTGATCCTGTTTGTGTCTTTGGTGCCGGACTGGTCCCCTCGTCTTCCGCACCCGCCAGAACGTACGCCCGTCCTGCGTGTTGTCACTCCACTTGTAGTGAGTGTCCTGATCTAGGTCGGTGTAGCCGATCCAGGCACTTAGGCCACCAGTCCTTGGTTGTGAACCGCTGAGACAAACGGCAAAGTTCCAACTTCATGGGAAAAGTGCCACCAAGCGACAAGGCGAAAATGAATCGATTTTCAGCCTTAGTTTGGACATGTTGGGGCCGCCAGAATCACAAAAGGCCCACAACGTGCAGAATGGAAGAAGTGGTCTACTTTTTGGAAGCACACCAGCCAGCTGCAAGCCTCCAAGGCCTTTTACCTGGTTTTACTTCAATCCTCTTGCCGTTGGTTCAGTCACTTGGGATTGGCCGGTCCAGACGCTGCCACAGCAGGATCCAAGTGGCCCTCGAATGGATCGATGCTAAGTGTGAGCCTTCGCCATATTGGCGACAGAAGGCCTCCGCCTGAAATTCAGACTCTTTCCATGAAAGTCAAAACAGTGAAAAATGTGGGAAAAGATTCTCTCATCATGATCATGTCTCATGGGTTCTAGTAGGAGAACGATGGCAAAAAGCTCAACTCCCACCTCGAACCAGGTCTTCTTCTCCCAGAAGTGCTTGTAGCCTCAGTGAATTGGCCTCCTGACACCCGTCTGTGACCTTCACCACTCTCTTGGAGGTCAAGGGTTTCCTCCCACATCATGAACTGTGCCCTTCGGACTTTTGCCACCCAAATGCTAACATGGAGCCAGAGAGAAGAACCCCGTATCTCTGTGTATGTGTATAGTTGTTCAATTAATGTATAATAAGAAGCAAGTATACTCAGATATGGCGAAAAAGACTTCTGCTCCGTCCACTTGAGGTCCGAGTCCATGGGAACAGCCCAACGGAACAGACTGCCCTGCACCACTCCAAGCAGCAAAATGCGTCCCACTGGGACCATCCACCTGGACAAGCACCTGGATGATAGACCTGTTCTTCGCCCACGTCGGTGGACTCCCAAAAGAGGCAGCAGTTTGGGGTGCTTGGGGCTCCAAGAATGAAAAGAAAACAACTTTTCTAGTGACTCAAACATACTATATAGATCTATATAGCATATTGTCCGACAATGAGTGGCCCACCTCTAAATGTGCAGCTACTACACAGTGCTACACTTCATTTTAGACTGACTCATCTCCAAAGTGGGAGCAGATCATGAAGCAGTGAACACTCTCTTTTCATCTGGCTCGGAGTGGCCACTCCAGCTCGCCCCAACCGACGTCTTTGCAACGATCCCCTCTCGCGCCTGGCTCAGCTGTTCCCGCTCATAGCTGGCAGCCACTTGTGCATCAGACGCACCATTGCCACACCAGTGGTGAAAGTCCTGCTTCCGCAACCGCAACGGAATCACATGCATTGAGATGTTTTCAAACAGGACAGCTTGCCGAAATGCTTTTCAGGTCGAAGTTGCTCAGCAGTGCACACAACTGGGTGTACCACCCACTGCGACCAGCAAGAGAAGCAGCAGCTTAAAAAATGTGTTCTCATCTCTACTGATAGTCGTCCAAAATCTTCCAACCATTCTTGCTCAACTAACTCATCATCTATAGTATATAGTATGATATAGTATGTGATTCTTCCTGTCAGATGTCATCTTCACTTCTCAAACTGATGAGCAAGGCGGCCCTCCTCAGCCCGCTTCAAACAGGCCGCATCGTTGCCGCCCGCGTTCACCTCATGGCAGCAGATCTTCGGCGGTGGATTCTGTTTCGCACGGGCGACGCGATGCGGCGTTCGGGAGCTCCCAACGCAAAAGGGTCTTAGTTTCCCCCGCCCACCACGCTCCGGAGAAAACGCGTTCTCTCCGTTGAGCTCTCCGTTGAGCTCCCGGAACGTGGGTCTCACCGATGTCATCCCGAAACTGCGTCCGCTGGAAGTCGGGAAAATTCGAGCCTCGAGGAACACGAAATCCAATCCAAATACGTTGCCTGACCCTCTTTGCTTGAAGAATTCTTCTGGTATGTGTGTCAATTAGTTCTGAACATATGGGACAATTCCAGCATTTCGTTGTGTTTTGTCTTCTGAGAATCCACCAAGAAGGCAGATGTTCGCCGCGCCAAGTGCCAAGCATATTTTGGCCGTAATGGTGCACCCCGTCGAGTCCTCACCGAGGACTCTGAGAACCGGCCAGGTGCTGTGGAGAAGAATGTCCAAAGGATTCATGAGCAGGGACATTTCCCCTTGAGCAGGGAGGTGTTGAGCACTGCTCGGTCTACTGATGTAAAATTCATTCTGATTGGATGCAAGCACTGGGTCTATCTACCAGGGCCCAGTGGATGCGACTGAAGTCCTACAAGCGGAACGCAACGGATTGGCAGTCCGCCAATCCCTGCTCCAAAGTGCCTCTATTTTTTGCGGACTTGGAAGACAACTATTTTGCTTAGGAAGACACTATGTGCCTTCAGGAATGGGGGTGCTGAGTTCGAGGAACTGCTAGATCATTGGAAGACCCCCGTTCGGCCGCCGTCCTCCGCCGACGTGGACAGCGTCAAGGTGGCCCAACTCACAGCCATCACCGCGCGCGGCAATGACGCGCGCCGCCGTGGTGAAGGCATGACCTGACCCAAGCATGACATGCCGATCAAGTGAAGACTGTCGAACCCTTCCATGAATCACCTGAACTGCTTGGTGGAGATTTGAATGAACTAAAAACCCGGGATGATGGCCAACGGCGAACAGTACCCACTAGGATCCATTGGATTGTTGTCATGTCTGGGCTCGGCCCCGAAGAAGTTCTCCGCGAGAAGATGAAAAAGCGGCCGAACATCGAGGCCACCGGCCATCGGCGGCTTCTGTGCTCCACAAACGAAGGAAGAAGCCTATCGGACCTAACCTGACTACAAAAATGGAATGAGAAGCCTCGTCATCTTCAGCATAGAGATTGATATTCTTTGCCATAGTGTTACTTTGCGTGATAATGGATTCTGACCAGTTTCCAGATTGTTTGAGTCAGAAACTTCAAAAGTCTCCTAGACGTCAACAAGCCATACCGTTTCAGATCCATCATTGACATCTCATCATTTTGTACAAGGCACATGCAGAATGACAATGACTTGATATATGAAATAAAGTGTATAAGCACTATATATATAGATAGAGCGAGAGAGAGATAGACACATGCTCAAGAAAATTGCCTCTCAATTGGCTTCCCAAGCGGATGAGAAACACCGATGTAACGCCGGCCCCAAGAGGCCGGAAAGAAAACGCACCAGCAAGCGACCGACCGTCCTGCAGAAGGGGCCGGACGAGCGCTTTTGAGCTCCACGATGTGACATAGTAGCTTCTTGTTACTAGTAGCAATGCCAGGAGCCCCTAGTAGCCTTCTTGTTACTAGAAGCAAGAATGCTCTTGTGGACCCAAATCCCCTGAAAATGCCTGAGCCCGGTGCTGAAGAGATGTGAAGAGACTAGAGATGTGAAGAGTTGATCTTTGGCCCTTTCCCGGTGCCACCGCGAAGTCCGGCCTCCACCACCGGCCCCGGCGAGCGGGACGCGCGGGCGAAGAAGAACGTCGCTGGAGCCAGGCCGAGGAGAGTGGACCGGAAGTAGCTCAGCAGGGAGTTGTCATCTGACAAGTCCATGTAGGGAATGAGGGAAGGAGCTCGCCCCCAATAACGATTCCGACATGGATCCAGCCTCCCTCATTTTACATGAGTTGCACCAGTCAGTCATGGAGCGATCAAATCAGGAGTTGAAAGCCTTTCTATCATCTAGACTCTAGATGTTTGGATCATGGTCTGGGAAATGTGCACCTGGATCGGATACGACCAATGATTGGGGACGAACAAAAAGGGGTCGGCTGCGACTGTCAATGCAGAATCTGGGCGATGTATGACCAAAACAGCTCCAATTCGATGAGCCAAAAAAGCCTACTGAGTACATCTAAGTACAAGTCTGACGTCCTGGGGTCGACCCCTTCCAATCCCAAACACTCCGCACCACACTGAAGCTATGCTCCCGGCATCCTCGCTCTCTATGGGTTGAGCCACCTGGAAAGCGGATCGGTTCAACAGCACCGCCGGGCCCCGGAACAAACAGCACCGCAGGGCTCCGGCCGTTGCGGGCACCGCAGGGCTTCGCATGGGCCGCAACGGTTGCCCAAACGCTCCGGCCGTGAAATTCAGACATGGCCGGCCTCGCAGACATTCGTCATGATCTTTACATCGTACTAGATTCGAAAAGAAGAAAGGCATGACGTCATGGCATGGCTCAATTCTGGCCGTCTTGTTGCAGTTCTTTGAAGCTCAACTTGGCACTGCTTGAACTCATTAAGGACCCCACGTGTCACCAGAAGCAGCAGAGCACCAATGGCCTAGCGCTTGAAAGCTCGGTCCATGTTGAGACTGGTCACTTGAGACGTCTGGCCCAGCTCCTCTTTCTTCAGGAAAGACGTCTGGGCCTGCCTATACGTCTGGCCTCGGCCCTGTGAACTCCACAACTTCCACGTCTTTTCAGCGTTCCTTACCGAGCCATGTCTGCCAAGAGGCTAAGTAGCAAAGGTAAAGAGCCATGGCGGTTTGAAGCTTCGTGGTGAAGCTTAGCTTCAGACTTGAGCCCGAAGGCCCTTTGCATGCACACAAATGACACATTCCGACAGAGTCCCGTGTGTCAGCGAGTTGCTTCAACAAGTCCCTGCTCTGCTGGTCACTTGTTCCCGACCCCCGGATTCATGAACGAACCTGTCGATATGATTGTGACAAGGGAGGCCCACGCTTGTGTGTACACACCCTCAATCACCTTTGCCTCTCTTGACTTAAGCTAGAGAATAGAATAAAACTAGACAAGCGTTCAGGCAATCCAGGTCGGCCGTTGAAGTTCGCACACATCGCTCAAAGCTCATCCACTGAATCAGAACTTGGTTGAAGACAAGTAGAAACGAGCGTTCGTTGTTCGTCCAGTTCTACCCCTCTTTGCGTTCCTTGGGCTGAAGTCCTGCACCCGGGCACCCGGCCCATCAAATCGACCGAAGGTGAACATCCTCACATCCTCTTTTAAACGATTCCCGCTGTGCTTTGTCTCAGGAGTCGTGTTCTTCGCCTGGCAGGCTTTGTTGGCAAAAAGAACTCGAGCCGGGCATGGAAAAGGGATTCAAAAAGGAATGTCTTCATTGACTTCAACAAGTGGCACATAGTGGTACCAGTGGCTTTGGGGGTGCGTTTGTTTGTCATAAAGCTTCAAAAGCGTCTTGTGTCTTTGGAGAAATCAAAACGACAGAACGGCGCACAAAGCCCGCATTGCCCTAATTGCTCAACTTGTCCGGGAGTAGCATGACGATGTGCTGTTTTGACTGGCCATCTTGTACAGCGTGACAGCATGAAGCATTCATGAAGCTAAGTAGCTACGAGTAGCTCCTGGCATTACTGCTAGTAGCAAGAAGCTACGAACGTCACAAGAGCATCGCTACGAACGGAGCAAGAAGCTACTAGCCTGTTATGCGTGTGTGAATTCCTTAGTGCCGACTCCTTTGGAGCCGCATCAGCACCACAACCCGCTCTCTCCGCTCACCTATTGAGCCTCCGGGTCGTCCGCGCTGTCCACGCGGGTGCACAGGCCATCCTTAGGACTTTTCCATGCAGACCATACCAACAAAAGGACCCCAAATAAGTTCATTACGGCAGCATAGCTCCCTGGAACCATCTGGAAAAGTGCCAGTTTGGAGTTGAAAGATCTTGAAGACATGCCTCAGAAATGGAGTACCCTCCATTTCTACCCCTGGTTTTTTGAAAAAGCGCTGGTCAAAATGAAGAACCAACCTGCGGGTCTCTGTCATCCATCGTCGGAATCAAGGTCCGTGGTGTGTGCTCTGCTCAGCTTCCAGCCATAGGGCTGGCAGGTGGCCCAGCCTGTGAATGGCAGAGTTCAAGCAACATCTGTTGTCCTGCTTATCTCATGTAGTGCATTAGTGACATGAACGTTTCTGGAAGCCGTCTTTATATTGTGTACAAGGTGCATAGAAAGACCTCCAGCAAACACCACAACAGGCGTGCGGACATCAACTTGGAGATGGAAAAAACCTTTTGTCACAACTTTGCGCATTCTGCATCGGTAGCCACACAAGCATCCAAGGCTGCCGAGATGGCAGCTTGGTCAAGGCCTGTGCCAATGAAAACCACTTCTTGGCTCTTGGCTGAGGTAGCTGTAGGGAAGACCTCCACGCGACGCCCAGCATGAGACCAGTAGAAGCTTTGATCAGAGTCACAGGTCCGAACAAAGCCTTTTGATCGAAGCACACCAGCAAAGAGTTGATCCTGGACAGGATCGCTTGCCTTGTCGAAGCTGATGTTGGCAGCAGTCACGGGAAGTCTTCGAATCAGAGCGGCCAATCGTTCAGGATGAAACCAGCGATCTTGCCGGTACACGAAGCTGGAAATGCCAAAGCGCTCGTGGCGCGCCGCGCCAAGCGGCGCCGCGCATTCGCTGCAGTCGCCCTCAGCTCCTTCGTGGCTGTGACCATGACCGGACGCATGCGCCACATGGGCGGTTGACATCCCCACACTTCGCACTGCTGCACTATGCCGGTTTGCCAGGGTTGGGACATACGCCGGCATCTCCATATCGATGGGCTCTGCGGGGAGTAGAGTCCTCAAGGGTAGCTGCCCTCGGATGGACTCGAACTGCCGTGCGTTGGGGCTTAGCGCCTTCAGAAGTTTCGAGACTTTGCTCAACTCCTCACTGCTGACCAAGTCGGTCTTGTTGATGACCACTGTGTCAGCAGATTCCAGTTGGCTCACCAAGAGACTGGACAAGGGTTTGCGATCCTGGTCGCCCTGATCGCCGGAATTGTACATCTCCCAGAAGCAAGAAGCATCAATCACACAAATGATCCCTGCTAAGAACAGCCTCTTCATTAACTGGTCGCCCGTCTTCGCCCTGTCCTCCAGTTCGGCAGCGATGCTTTCTGGCTCAGCCACGCCAGAACACTCAACCACCAGCCGGTCCCAACCCTTCTCCAGCTTCGTGATTCCTGTGCTCTCCACCAGCTCTTCAAGGCGAGCAAACAAATCAGCCCTGCCGGAGCAGCAGGCACAACCATTCTGCAAACCCACGATGCCGTCAGCATCTTCGAAACGCAGCACTTCGGAGTCGATGTTCACCTCTGCAACATCATTTACAACGACACCCACCTTGAGCCCTTCACGATTTTTCAGCACGTGCTGCACCATCGTGGTCTTCCCCGCCCCTAGAAAGCCACACAAGATCGACACAGGAACCTTCGGCGCAGCACGTGATCTGGGTGCTCCCCTTCGTCGGCCGAAGTCATCACCATATCCACCAAGTGAAAGAGGGTCATCTATGTCCAACATCTCACAGCGAAGGCTCCCGAGGGCCGGTCGAAAGAAAATTTTCAAGGTGGGCCCCACCCAGCGCATTGGCGCTCGCTTGAGCCCAAGATGTACGTGGGTGCCGGGTCACGTTCAAAGTACCATGTTTTTGATGAAGAGAGCACAATATACAGTCATATACACGATGGCTTGAAAAAGGCTCTTCTGGGCAGTATCTACATACCCTGCCTCCACACTGAAGGATGCAGTGCCACCACTGGTGCCACTGGTGGG